ATACCGAAGTAACTGATCTTTGAGGGAATGCCAAAGTCGTCCATGCCGTTGTTCAACACAATGCCGGTTCTCCTACTGACTGTTCCGCTTCCAAAACTGCAAGATTATCGGATACAAAAACGTACAAGGAAAATCTAGCAAATAATATACGAGAGAAAAAGAGAGAGAATTGAGAGGTAGAAATTTATTTACTAATAATTAATGGTGCTGGTAACCGATACAGCATCACCATTTTGCGCCAGCACCGACACGTGTGCGGTGCCATGATCTTCGGCACCAGCGTGGAGGGAAGAACCGTATTGTCGCGGATCCTGCCAGGTTTTTTCGTCACTAATTTTTTTTCGTATCACGCGTGCAAAGCTGCTCGATGTCAAGTTTTTGAGTATCTTAAAAATAATCAAATTACGGTATAGATATTAATACAAACAGACATTAATATTCCGAGAGAAAAAGAAATCGAATTTATATTTATTACTTTGGTCATATCGACGAAAGCTCCGTCGCCCAGATCCGTCCTTAACGCGTACGCGTACTTGAAGGTTTCTATCATTCTGTGATACGTGAGGATCGTCGTGTTAAAATCGACCATGCTGGCCGGTGTGAAGCCGTAACCGTCGAGGACGTTGAGGATAAACGAGAGAACAGCTCCGCTACCGGGTAGTCCTGTAGTAAAAAGTTTTATGCCGCCCGAGAGATTCGTCTGTATCGGTTGATCCCATAAAACTCTGCGTACAAAGAAAAAGGATATTTTTTTTAAACAAAATTTGTAGCATAACAATAATTCTCTGATTACCTGTATTCGTTAAGGTCTTTCATTGTTATGATTCCTCCTTGTTCGCGTAAATCGTCAACGAGATATCGTCCAATCGTGCCGTTATAAAATTCAGTCGCATTTTTCTCGGCGATAATTCGCAGCGTTTTGCAAAGTGTGAGGGGTTTAATGACAGATCCTGCTTTACGGAATTCGTTAGTCGCAGGATCGATAAATAATTCTCTACAAAAATCAAAAGGTTTTTTATTTTTACACACATACACGCAATAATAATTTTGTTATATGAAATTAATATTTTATAATTTTTAATCTATATAATTTATATTTGACAGATACATACCTCAGAGTTGGATCGTTATAAATACTTTTCTTATTATATACAAGGGCATCATATTGCGCCACTGTCATAGTATAGCCCTTTTCACAAAGTTCGATACTCGGTTCGAGCAAATCCGCCCATGGCAATTTACCGAATCGTTGATGAGCTTCCCAGTAACCAGCTAGTTCACCGGGAACGGCAACTGCCAGTGCGCCTATTAAAATAAAAAAATCATAGTCACTACTAAATAGATAAACGATACTTAGAGAATATAATCTTAAGACACTTTCATATAGAAAAATTTTATAGAATTTTAAAAAATTTAATAAAACTTTTAAACATTTTATAGACTTTTATAGAAAAATTGTTATATCCAAATTTACCGTGAAAAGACGCGTTCGCGGGCTTGTCGTTATACATTGTAGAATTCGCTGCCAAAGGTGCGCGATCTCTGGCATTGAGAACGAAAGCTTGACGCGTGGATCTTTGATAAATGGTCATCATAAATCCACCGCCGAATCCTAGACTTTGCATATTCACGAGTCCGTTGCATATCAGCGCGGCCAGCGCAGCATCCACCGCCGATCCATTCCGTTCTAAGATCGATCTGAAAGACATTCTTTCCTTTTACGCCTTTGTGAAAGAGACACTCTTAATCTGTCGCGTATCGCGTGTATATATTACTGAATTCAAAAATTCGCGCCAATGCGATGTACATACTTGCCGATAACAGCGCATGGCGCTCCATCCGCGCAAACTGCACCGTGTTTGAAAGTCCGTAATTTACTCCACGACGGCGGTTGTACAGTTTCCGGATCGGGCGGTATCAGAGAGCTGTCTTTTTGCGAAGTGTCGGATGTGCCGTAAATACTAAGACCGATTATGGCAATTAGGAATGCAGCTACGATGGTGACGATTATTACGATCGCGTAGGATCGTACGTGACGTCGTGATCTGAAAGGTAAAAGATTGTATTATCAGCCGAATATATTAATCGTAGTCTTTTATCGCAAGATGATAATGTTCAAGTAAACACTCTTTGCTACCTTGTTATTCGCACTCAATATGTAATAATTTTAATCGAAATAATATTCCTTTCGTGTAGTCAAACATAATTTTTAAAACTTGTTAAAACGCATAGATTAAAATTTTATATATATATGGCGAAATTGAATTCATTTTCACGCTACAGTTTTTGAGCAATCGTTTCCGGCAACAGTTTGATAAATATTAATTGTCTTTTCAATTTTTATATTTCTTTATATATTAGTTTTTATAAAAATTGCCATCGCAAAATAATTCAATATATTATATCTATTTATAGAGATAGTAAGAAAGAATTGTTCTTGTAAGAAAAAGAAAATGCAATATCCTTTAAAATGCGTTCTTAACATTTTAAACAAATAAAACCTAACATACAGAACATTGTTTATCACTTATTCAAATAACAGCGATAAAAAAATATTCTCCAGCTATTTTTTTTAAATACATTTAAAGCAGGGTTGCATTTAAAAATAATCTAATGTGTCCTAATGTTCTAAATATGTATTGTCAGTTTTAACATTCGATCTTATTTAATAGACATTATATGTTCTAAATATAAAATTTAATGTTTTTTTTTTTACCAATATTTTTTATTAAATTTATATGATTATTTAAAGCATGATAATTGTGTGATATGAATATGTAATTTCAAAAATTGCAAGTTAATATTTTGCATCATAACTCATATTCAACAAAGCAATAATCAAAGAGAGAGGGGGACAAGGAGAATATATAGTGTATGTATGTATAAAAGCGCTACACGATTGGCCGATTGGCAGCACTTCGGATACACTCGTCAATAGAGTCTGCAGTGCGTAGTCATTATTTCTCGTTTTTCTTATTGTGATTTCAGCGTATCAAGCGAGCTCGTATTCGACTCGCTTAACAGTTCTTTCGAAAGAGCAACGAATCAGCTGACGAAGTTTATCGAGAGAGCAGATTACGTTTGATTTCTACTAGATTAACACAAGAATCAAGGTTGAGAAAACTACAGAGAAAGGAAAATTCATTCTACCGATAAATTGGCGGCCTGTATCTTACCAGCTCAAGGAAATTACATCGCAAGGTAAAAGTATAATATTCTATTGACGAATATTTCATAATTGTATCTGCGATATTTAAACGAAGAATTGTCAAAAAAGATTGCCACAAAAAAGGTGAGATCTTTTGTTATACGTGTTTCATGTTTAAATTTAACATATTTAAAAATTGTTTGAATTACAATGAATCATTTGATTGCACTGATTGATTTCGCAAGAAGACTACGTTTTTATGAAAATATTTATTTTCCTTAAAAAGAAAAAAAACTAAATTTAAAATTATAAATTATGCAAGATAGTAGTTCGATTAGTGTATCAATCATATTCAAAATGACTATATATATATATATGAAAAAATATGTAGATGTAACATAATAGTAGTGCGATTGCGCAAAGCGTGATCCCGCGTAGCAGATTCTTCTATCGTGGACAATATATATGTATATAATTGACACGTAGTTAACTCTAGAATTGATAAGAACTTCAGGAACTTTCAATTTTGTTTTTTTTTTTTTTTTTTTAATGAAACCAAATTGCTTTTTCACAAAGATATAAAAATAAAATAATTTGTATATAATTCGAGCATATTAAAACGCGAAATTTTTTTCTGTTGAACTAGCGGGGACAATAGCGCAATAACAAATAATTTTATGCATTATTATGTATAGCATGATTTTTATTTTTGTGGCAAAGAGCACGCGACTCACTTGTCTATCTTGAATCTCTCGAGGATTCGAGGTCTCGATCTGTCGCGCGAGGGACGGGTAGAACCGAGGAGCCAGGCGGTTCCGACATCCTCCGAATCGAGAGACCGGTTCCCCTCGGTGAACCGGCGCGCATCGTCGCCGCTGGCGTACACGGAACCGGAACTCGTGCTGGACGAGGGCGAGGAAGTTCTCATGATTTTTCTCTGAGAAAAGCTCCATTTATTAGTACGATAAATGGAGAGCCCGCGCGCTCTCCTTTCCCCTTGCCCTTATACTCTTCTCTCGCGATTAATGCAATTCATTGATCACACTCACTTGGAAGACATGCCGTCCGTTTCTCACCATCTACGTATTTCTTCTGGCGCTTCTCTCGACTGGCACGCGGAGGAGAGAAATTCCGCGCCATATCGGCTGTGTCAATTACATTGCGGAAACGCGCGACATTTTGTCAGCATATAGGTAACGTGTTGAATTCCTTGATGCACAAAAGTGCACATACACTTGTGAATTGTCGGATTACCGTAAACGCATGAATAAACTTTGTTCGCACGCAAGGAGCGATAACGAAATAATTGAACGCTATATAGAACTGTGAGAAGAAAACTGCCGTGCGCTCGATGATAAATCGTCAGAAGACATGTCTGTTAAATGTATTTCTAACACGTCTCTCAAACGAAACGGATCTGTGATACTCCAGTGGCGTAGACGTAGACTATCAGCTGAGCGAACAAGATCGATGCGAGTCTGCGCATCAACAGCAGGGCTGTATCAATGAATGCTCGTGCGCGCGGCTCGAGTTTCGAAAGATTAATTGTGAAAGATTTCTTTGGCAAATGTTGATGGATATCCGTGCGAGACACTTTGAAAATTCTTGACATGTAGCAATTCATACCTCCGTTCGTCCGGTGATTCGAATGTACACGTCAGAATGCTCTTCTCCGCCATCTCCACCGGATAGAAACTCCTGGCAATATTTAAAATGCGAATATTCCACGCTCGATTGCACACTTTCCGCACTGACGCGCGCGAATATGCGTTTTTCAACGAATTTCCACCGGCACGCTTAGATAATCGCGAATCAATGGACTATATCTTACACTCTCGGATGAATGCACCGCAAATTTTTCGGTGATTCCGGCAAGCATGAAGAAATTCGTATGTTGAGCCGCGCGAGAAACCGGCACAGACGCGACTCATCCATGAAGAGTGAACGAAAAAAAAGCGCGGTCAAAGACCGCCCCTTGCGAGGTCGTATACCTGTTCCACGGGATTCAAATATAATGTAACGTAATCGACCGATCTCGTAGAGATGCGTGAGAACACGTTTTGCAAACAGAATTTTCGAAGAGGACATCGTATCCAATCGAATTTGAATTTTAATAGGTGCTAAAGGTAGGATCGGGTCTACTTTCGTTTGAGTACCAAATAAGGAAACGACATATTTTTCTATACGTGTCTCCGAAAATATATAAACGCCGTATTGATTAAGAAGCAACACGAGACCTGTAGTTTGTATGTTATTTATTGCGCGTGTTAGTTATTGCGTATGTTAATTAATGCACATATATTAATTATTTTTTTACGAAAGGTATACGCGTGTAAAATTCTACAAATTTAATAATTTCTGGGTATATCGTTTTTATTTCTTTTTTATTTGCACTAACTTTATACACTCAGACATCGTTTTTATGTCGCAACTCTTTGTAATCATTAACATCGATACAACATACTCGCACCCGACAAAGTTCCTCAAGTTTTTATTATTGATGACGGATTTGACCGAGAGATCACGATTTTAAAAATTTTTTTTTGAGATCAACAGATACGTTACTGTACTTAACGGATCCGAGCTGTACGCACACAGTTCTAACTGACAAGTTTAGATCAACAGAGCTCGTATATAAGCGATTCTAGAAAATTCGAAGTTACATGGACGTCGTGACATATCCTGGAAACTATCAAGTCTCCTGCGTACGATAAGTGCTGTCTCGGCTATAACGATGTATATATTCAACAACAATATACCGTATAAATTATGCTGACATACAGAGAGTGATCCGTATTTACTCCGTATTAAGCAGTCAACAATCAAACAAGTCGACAATAATTCGACTTGCATTATTAATTCTTCATTACAGATCTATCAACAGAGTAATAAATTTTATATATATATTAATATTATTCATCTAAATATATTATCGGACTGTGGAATTTCATATATGTACAAGATAAATCGAAAAATGTAGTATAAAAAACCAAAAAATTAATTGAAAATGTAAAATACAATTTTTCGTACAAAGCTTTGTTTTCCAGGAAATTATTTTTTGAAAGAAATTTAAAAAAAATTGATATGTAGATGCGATTATAATGTAATATATTATAAAAGCATAATATTCCATTTAATAAAACTTTGAACTAGATTATTACTGTATGTATGTGTGCGTGTATGTGGGAAAAAAAGTTGTGTATGTATATAAAGCATCAAGATAAATTTTATTTTTTGCAATAGAGATAATGTATCGTTTTATACACATCTTAAAATCCGCTGTCCAGATAAATCACATAATTTATGATAATGATGAAGATCTTAGTTAGTGATTATTCAAGTTGAAAAAGAGCATAATAAAAATACGTGATATAAATAGCGTAATAAATATGCTATTAATTTTCCAATTTATAAAATCAGTTTTCTCGAATAAGAAAGCTCGCTATAAAAAAATTCTTTTCTACAGTTTCAACTTATTTTTGCACGAGGAGTCATTTTCTTTTCATCCTGTATACAATTGGAATGACTAGACCGTAGTCCGTATCAATCGTAATTAAAATACGCGAATACGGATCGACTCTCGCGCGCTTCTCAACAAATCGAAACGAAAAACATTCTTGCCGTATCATAAATAACACCATTAAACGTCCAGAGAATGTCGAGATATTTTTTTACATAGATTTTTGTACGCACATATATACCCTACGCAATTTTTGGAGTGTCAATTCCAACGGCTACTATTATCACTATCGACTAATTATTGACTTATCTAAATTACTCTAATATCATTTATATATTTTCGCGTAGATGTCAGAAAGTCCAGTAAAAGGGCCATGAAATTCACGTCAATGCGAAATCGTAACTACATACTGACAATGAGCGAAATTTGACATTTACAAAAGTGAGATTTATTTCTACGTAGAATTTGACTTTGCGTCCGATATATGAATTTAATGCGAACGTTGAATATTCTTTCGGAGCTCGAATCTTTGATTTGATCTTTATTACCGCTTTCTGTTAAAAGAACTTTCTCGGGTGTCCGACTTCCGTCCGTTATTCTTTCTTCGCTCCTGCACGAGTTTCTATGAAATCTTCTTGCTTTAATAAATTAAAGGTAGATTGGACCGGTTTCATGGATGACGAATTTGTCGCTGACGCAAAACTTTCATCGATAATGATCGAAAACGATCGATAATTAATTCTTCTCTCGTTCAGCGCGTTAAGGGAGCGAGCGAATTTTCCGAAATCGGGTTTGCCGGTGGTGTATTAATTAGTTTCGTTCTTCTTCTCTTTGTTGTAAAGGATGGTTTCACGTCGTCGTTGCGTTACGTAATGTTGCAGAGTGAAAGTATAAAAATATAATTTCAAGATATGTCGATATATATTAATGTCGAGTGTAAAGGCTGCGCCGAATGCTCTCGTTTACTTCAAAAACTTTTTTACGTTTCTCATTAGAACGTATAAGAAATGATCGAGATCACACATTTTGTGGTACAAAATGTACGCTTGGACGAGTTATTCCTCAAATATCTCCTCTCTTCGCTTTTGTGTCGATAGATACAAGTTATTAAAATAGCTGTCACAATTGACCGATTAACTCTTTATATTTTTGCAAATTCGCGAAATAAGTACGTCATGATTAGATGCTCTCTCTCTCCTATTACGAAACTTCGTTCTATCTAGCGGTGTCGCTTAAGTACACGCGGTAGAATCTCATCTTGTCCGAGACACGAACGGATTACCCGAAAGGAAAATACATTTAGACTTAAGAGGATAAGCTTAGGAGGAGGGAGTCAGGAGAGGCCTCAGCTGCGCAGCCTCCTCGCCTCGGTCCTCGGAAACTTCGACAACCTCGCGGTTGTCGATCTTTGACTTTCGCTGCGGAAGTCCCATCCGCAACTCCTCCCTCGACCTTTCGAGACCGTCGTCCTCGTCATTCCTCTCAGTTATCGCCTTAGTCTCCATCTCCTCTACGCTGCTCCAACTGCTTTCGCTTTCGCTACACTCTGTCTTCTTTATGTTACCGTTCGCCCTTTCCTTTTCCTTCTCGTTCGGTTCGCCATTTTCCTGCATCATCAAATTAATCTAATTTCAGGCGACCATTAACAGTATTAATGAGCAATGTTTATTATTACAAGGATATATTTTAGTAATGATACTTACTACGGCGAGAGATTTGAGCAGGGTGGTGGTTGTTGTCGTGGCTGTGGTCGTATCCGTGGTATCGCTGCTCTCGCTATTGTTGTTCGGCCTGATCGCGGTCGATAGCGGACCTTCCTCCAAATTCTTGCCGCGTACATATCGTCGTGATGACCAGCCGTCCATTGAGTTTCTTGATGTGTTACCCTTGACGGATTTTGGGGTCACGTTGGTGGTCCAGACGCTCGCGTCGCTGCTTCCCGTGCTGCTGTCGCTACCGGTACTGCAGTTCCGCCATCGACGTTCTATGCACGTGCGATACAAATGAGAATTCTTTTCTCGAATACGGACAAACACACTGATCTACCTCATTTGTTTCAATGATCTATCCATTTACAAATCCCCGTACGACGAGACTTACATTGTCACGAAACGGACGAAACTTATGTTGTCACGATGTTCACTGACGTTATTAAAACCTTTTCTCATTGATTTTTTCGCTGACGGAGAAGATAATATTATGTGACGACAGAATTTTTTATAAAAGAAAGGAAAAATGAATATATATAGGGTGAGTTACAAAATATTATCGATCACAGTAAATCCTATATGTTTTATAAAAAGATATTCAGATAAAAGAATTTAGATAAAAGTTGTGATTATACTGATCGTAGGATCTCTTTGGAGAGAAATAAAAAAATAATTTTTATATAAAATATTTTATACAAAATTCATAATTTAGAATTTTTTGACGGTAATAATTTTTAATGTGACTCATTCTGTATGCACGATATAAGGAGGAGTCGCGTAAAAGATAAATTAATAACGGCTTCTGCGGTAATTTTTTTTTAAACTTTTGAATCGCGATATTATTTCGAAAATGCAAATGCGATTGAGGTACATGTACGACACCACAAATTGTTAATTTATGACGTACTTTCGCACGGCGGTGGGTTACTATTGGAATTGAGGGATTTTCTTAGAAGCGGGCTGCTCCCGTCCTGGCTCTCCTCGCTGTACGCGCGCGTTATGAGGATCCTCGGACTCTTCCTCGGGTTCTCGCATAAAGCTATCGAACATCCCGCGCCCAAGTCCGTCCCGATAAAGTCGCTCCGATAGTTGGGGCCCATCAGACTGGCGGCACTCGCGCTCGCCCTCACCAATTTTCTCGGCTCCTCTTAGCGCGCCATGATGAAAGGAGGACGCTCATGTCAGTGTCGAAATGTTTACCAATCAACGATCAAGAGAAATCTTTCGAAAGTTTGATTTATTTTACTACGAGTCTTTATAGAGAGAGACACTTTGCGTTAAGATACAAGATCTTAATTTATGAGAGTTCTCGGGTTACGAACATTATTTCTGAATATAAACCGAAAGCACGGATATGTATATGTAAAGAGAGAGAGAGAGAGTATCGTTAAAACCGTATCAGCAGTGTAAATCGCGTAAATTTGCGTACCTGATTCGGCGGTTGGCACTCTAAGAGTATTGCACGACACGGTGGGCTGCAGCCTCCCGCGCTGAAACCCGAGATTATTGCTTTCGAAGTTACTGCCGGTTCTGCATGAACCGAGGGCCAATAACGCCTCGCTGAGTCTACGTTGTAAGGGCGGAAACGGGAAGAAGGAAGCGTTTCCGTTGCCGGAAGGCCGCCTAGAGCCCGCGACGCTCGGCGTTCTTGCCTGTATCTCCTGGAATGCAATTTTACGTGTCCAACGCAATTGAATAAATATATAAATGTGATATTAATCGTAAACTTCGAAAACTAGTATCCTTTGCATCGCTCGATAGTACAGTTCATTTTGCTTTTCCTGCGCTCGGATTACCTGTTGCAACTCGGACTTGGTCGCCTTCTTCCGCCAATAGTTTTGTACGGATCGTCGCAGAGTTTGCGATTTTAAGCCATAAAGAACGCCGTTGATGGGCGGCGAGCACGCCAGGAGGAACGACGCCAAAGCGGCGAGTTTAGGGTATGCGGGGAAACGCTGCTGATTACCGGCATTGCAAACTTCCCAGAGGATAAATCCGCAGTAAGGAAAGTAGAGCAGGTACAGGGAGCCGACCAGTTGCATCACCTGGAACGTTATCATTCGATGAGGCCAGATCGAGTTTATTGGCAGCCGCGCATTCGATCGCGAAGTTCATAATTATTTATTCTTGCGGTAAAGGATGTTCGTCAATATCGAGATTTATTATATTCGAAAGATCCCGGGGGTCAAAGTTCCTAGAATAGAAGTGTTAAACCGGACGGTTCGTAATCGCGACGAGATGTTTTGCAGAGCGAGGAAATTTCAATATGTATTTCGCTGATGCCTCGCAGCGTGGTGTCTATCGATTCGACTTGCTAACTTCGGAGAAAATTAAATTACAGATTAGGCTTTAACTACAGAGCACTATTGATTAGCCTGATTAACTTAAATCGAATGACTTGACAAGAGTTAAATTGGCCGGATGAAGTCTGTTGAAAAAGAAAATCGATTCTTCGTCGATTGACGGAAGAAACTGCCGTTACGGAACGATAATGAGGAAAATCGTATCTTTTTAAATGCATTCATGTTATATAGACAAAATCTTAGGAAAGAAAAAAAATATATATCTGTACAAACCGTGCTGGCGGCGCTGTGAAAACGCGGCGGTCCCCCGGCGGAGGGTGCGGTGACGGTTGGCACAAAAAACGGATTACGCTGATGGGTAATGGTCACCTGGGCGCTCAGGGTGACTTCGTAGATCGCGCTGGCGATACGATGCCGATGGTACCGCGCTATACCTAGCACGCGTAAATTGCAGACCGTCACGAGGACGGCCGGCAGCCCCAGGCCCACAATGGCGTAAACGGCGCCGTAGAGCGCCGCGGCAGATCCCCAAGTGCCGTTCCCGAAATCCGGGGCGCAGCAACCCAACCCTGGGCTATATCTGATCGATACATAGAATATTGAGAGAGAGAGAGAGAGAGAGAGAGAGAGAACGTGTATTTGCGCGAAATTACAGTATATATTTTTTTTTCTTTTAACCGTATTTGTATGCGGGCGTTAAAAATAAGTAAAACCGAAGCGCTCGTTGAGAATATTGTAGTTTATTCGGCATTGTTGCTGCAATACATTTTAATTAATTCAACTAACTCTCTGGCGCCGACGAAATCTTGAATGAGATTGAATTCTTTCATGCTCGCCGAGAGGAGCTGGCACGGAAATTGTCTCGCAACGCGCCTTTATACAATGCAAAACAACTTGCGCGAGACGAGAAATGGAGAACACAAAGTAAATCGAATCTTGTTCATTATCCGAGAAAATGCAGCAATCGCGCGGCAATATCGTAGGAACAAGGCCACGGAATGCGATGGCGGTGCTGATAATGGTGGTGGTACTTAATGATGTGATACGTATGTATATATATGTATGTGTATACAAACCTATAAGGCGGCACCAGACCGGAGAATGGCGGCAAGCACAGAAGCAGAGCGCCCGTCCAGGAAGCAGCCAACCCGACGGCCACGCGACGCGGCGAGACCAAAGCGGCGTAATGCAGCGGTGCAGCAATCGCGTAATACCTGTATATATAGAGTAATTGCGTGGCATGGCTAATGGGAGTCTTCGCAAGAATGTAATTGGAGACCGCGCGCGAGTTTCCGTTTTCACATTCAATTGAGCGTCAAATTCTAACGATTTCCTCTCCCCACCTCCTCCTTCCCTTTATTAAATATCTCGGATATAATGAGTAGAAGAGGATGATGTCATATTTAAACGACCAACTTTCTTAGAGGATTAGTGAAAATGCAACAACGAGATATATATGCGCGATGGGCAAACCCAAAGACGCACTGGTGGCTTAAATCTGTTAAGCTTCTGAATAAAATATTTCGTGATCGATCGAGCCAACGGTCGGGCCCGGCAGTGCCCTTTGCCGAGAAAGAGAGAAGGGAAGAATTTTCTATATTCTCAAGGGAATTCTCCATGTTTCCTTAAAGAGTCGCGCGAGACGATAAAGAAACGTTTGTCGCGGGAATTCACAGGAATCACTCGCGGAGGAAGAAATGCAAGATTTCAGCAAGATTTTCAAAGTGTGTCTGAATAGCTTATAGTAAAGCTCGTACAACGCGGTACTTCTATGATGCGGAAGATAAATTTCAAATTTTGCGAAGAATATATTTTCTTTCTTTCTTTTGCAAAATAATTAATATATTTTCAAATTTTGTACACTTTAATGAATATCGTGTAACGCGGAATATATCCCTCGCGTTATACAGGACTCCATTGTGTGCTTGTATAATATATGTAAAGCGCAATATGTATGTAAAGCGTAGGATGATAATTATTTCAGCCGGTGCAATCCAAACTCATCTCGTATCACCGAAATGCATACCTCAGTTATTAATGCGAGAACACAGCGAGATAATAAGCAACAAGTAGAAATGGAATGACGGATGCGATTCTGGGTTATACGCAGGCTGTATCGAACAAATGTCTTGTATCATCTGAGTCGCGGCGATATTGTTTGAGTCTGTGGAATCATTATTGACATCCTACATCGGAAATCTCTTTGACTTTTGCGGACTTTGTCGCCGAGGCCTCGTTCACGTCTCGCTCGTGTGCCGTATATCGAGATTAAATTCGATTTTCATCGAAAGTTTCCGCGAATACGTACCTCTTTCGTCCTCGATTTACTCGACGGACAATGACATTTTTTCCTTTATCCGACGTAAAATTTCATTGAAAGCGTGTTGCACATTTCGAACGATAAGAATAAAATTTTTCGAGCAATAACCAGTACGAGAATAATTTTATCGAATTCGCACGGAAATCGAATCACGGAAATAATCCGTTCGAAAATGCGCGAGATGTGGCGATTCGCATACCTCGTACAAGGGATACTCGAATCTCCGCGTAAAGCACGTGCTTTAAACGCGCGTCGCGTAAAACGCGGTTTCACGCATGATTGACGCGAGAACAATGTGATTAACAACCGCTACACATATCCCTTTTACAAACCTCGACGCATCGATTACCGTCAACTTGGCTTCCGCGAACAACCAATTACGGGGGAGAGCTGATACAGCAGTCTCATTCATCCCGACGTCTTCAATTTGCATGGAATATATCTCCGCATCCAAATATCGAATAATATAATATCAAATGATATAATATTATAAAGAGAAAGGGAGGAAAAGAAAGACACCGAGAGAGACTCACCTGTCGCAATTTAATCCCGTCACGGTCCAGAGAGCGACTGGATGCAGCAAGGCCAAGAGGAATCCGTGGAAAACGCACCACGTGCCGGCGACTGACCACGAACCGATCGTGAAGATCAGCAATATCAAGCACACAGCCGTTTCCACGGCGCCCAAATGGATCAGCAACAAAGTGTTCGCCGTCTGCTGTTGCTGCGTCTGCGGACATTGCAGCGCGATTCGTCGATTTGCCGATCGTCTCGACTCTCTATCGCGTTATCGGGATCTTTTTCCTCCTTGATTATGGCGAGGCTCACAAAATTTTTCATAAATTAATTAAAACGGGGACTGGTCATTGGCTTTAAAATCCGGAATTGTATCCGAGCTTTATCGTTCGCGATAGAATTACTTAACGGTATCAGAAGCTTGATAGCGATAGAAGGAAATATTTTCGAGAAATAATTTTTTTTTTTTTTTTCGTTTTCCCTCCCTCCTTCTCCCTTTCCCCGCGATCGCAACTCTCACATATATTTTAGAATTAGGCACAAATATTTGAATCTGAAATATTTCGACGTAAAGAAATTACGAGAAAATTTTCGTATGCGAAATAGGAAAAATGATTCCTTTGTATAAATAATATTAATCGAAATAAAAGAATTATATAAAAGTTAGAATCATCTATTATTTATCTCGCTTTTGAGCAAAGAACAGGAAGATTCTCTCTTTTTATCTCCCATCGATCCATATCACCACGGTGCCAGAAAACGCACACTTTTCGCGACACATTGTTTTGCGGATCACGAGCAGCTACCGGATGGCATAATTCGATTTTGACCGTGCCGCGGCAGTTCCATTATCGACCATTAGCGTATCTCCCAACGGCAGTCGACTATGTCGATACGACTTGCGAGATGCGGCTGCTGCGATCGTCGGCTAGTTGTCTAGTCGCGACGAAGCGAAAAGGCGACCTCATTTGCCATCGTTGAATTTTACAGTGTCCAACTATTAATAGTCGCTGGATCCACAATTGAAGATGGATCCGCGCGCGCGAACTAAAAAAAATCTCATCATATTTACTCATCATATTTAAAAATATGCTCAGCCTGTACGCGTGAGCTAAATTAGACTTTTCCTTAAACAATTTCCAAATTAATTTACTACCTACGAATTAATCAATAAGCTTCCTGCATCTCTCAATATCGCTATGTTTGATATTAAAGCCAATTAACATTTATAAGCTTCACCTTTTCCGTCTGTTTTTGGATATATAATCCGATTCGTTTCGAAATCGATTTTGCATAATTCATTTATTACAGGCTAATGAAATGCCGCTAATCTCATTAAAAGTCTACATTCCGATAAAATCTCATCTTCATAAACTGCCGTTCCTTCATATATGTATAACACATATTAAGCCCGCAAATATGAATGAGGAATTTCTCGTTCGGAATTCCTTCGCGTATTTCCATATACATAATTGCATGTGTTACATTAGATATTTACAAGAATTTATTCAAGATTATTTTTTCTCTCTTTATCGATGGGTTTACACGTTATTATATACATTAAATTCTGCTAATATAAGTTATATTCTCGAAGTTAATATAGAAATAATGATGAGGTCTTAGTAAATCAAAGTAAGCGTTTCAACGAGTCACAGATATCGTACTGATAATTTTATTGAGAAAAGCGACGGTGAAAGGAAGCATTTTTCCCGTCAGACATGGCTTTTTAATAGATTACGCTGAATCAAGAGATGAGATTATAGGACTTCTACCTTTAGAAAGTCTTGCATCGATTTTCTGATAAATTATCAAGTTAGAATTGCAGATCCTATAGAAAGACCTATGATGGTTCTTTATCCTTAAGCTCTTTTTTCTCCGCGCTACCAGTATTATTTGAGTTTAGAGATAACGATCTTAAAGTCAAAGCGTCATTTCTTGAAACAACTCTCGATGTGGAATTCTAAAATCTCATATTATGCGATTTGTTAAGTCTGTAACATATTTTTTTTAATTTT